CGAATCTCTTCTTCATGCACTTTCATTCGAAATGAAGTTCCCCCTAACAATGTTATCTCAGGAGATTCATGGAAACCAAGTTTATCGTCGTATCTACTATTTATTGAGCAGTCGCCGTCCTTATATTAACTTATGTAAGGAATAGACTGGCCCATTAAGACTATATCGTCACATTCGAATGCTGCACCGGGGCCACATGTCTCGCGGAACTCCAGAAGTGGGAAAGTTATTTAATTCAGGCTGGACTGGACTGTCGTTACGATCTCGCCTCAGCCTCTCATCTACACACCCAACGGAATTCCATACCGAGTCGTGAGTATTGTAGCAACGTTACCACTCTGCCATACTGCAATGGGTTTCGATGTGTTACATGATAGATTCAAGGCAATCGACGCATCCTTCAGACCATACAGAATGATAGGATTATAGGTTAAGTAAACATTTATTTGCGACTGAAATAGACGATATTACTTATTTTCTGTGTAAGTAGGCAAAGTTAATTCTATTCGATTTCAATGTAAAATGGATATTTTTTCATTTATACATTGGAATGTGAGTATAATCAAAGCGTTATATAGAGGCAGTTAGACTTTTTGACATAAGGATAATTTAAAAATGAGATCCAGATGTGACGATGCTTATCAAGAGAGAGGACAGACAAAAGTTTAGCCGATTTTGTAGATACGAAGAGTACCTAGGTTTCGTTGAATCTCCTAAGACAATATTATTGGGCAGATTTTCATCTCATTGGAAAGTGCGTAATGAAGAGATTCGATGGTCGATGTCATCAGACGACGGTGGATTCCCGATGTAGTGCATCAGTTTGGCTTTGATAAGACTTTCATGTTGACACAGTCCACAAGACCTTCTCCCACGTTTCGGGTGAAAAAGGCCTCATCAGAGCTGGAACTCATTCGTATAAAAGTCTCAAGTTAACAAACACTAAGTTAAGAAAGCCGGGTTTCCTTCAGAGGACTGTCAAGCTCTATCGTCTTATTTATGCCTATAACTAAAAAACCAAAATGTATAGACACAAAAAAATATAGAATCGTCTGGCTAATTAATTTTCAACATTTTCATGGTGCTTTTAGGGATCCCGATCAAGATTGATCGGGATTTTTTCTTGTATCATTAAGCCATAATGACCCAAACCTGACATTAGGCTATTTAATTAATCTGATTTAGGACCGGTATTGCGTATAGGCGTTGACACACACACACACACACTCAAATGAAAATCCCATGTCAGGTATGAATTGGAAATAGCCAAAACATATTAAAGCTATCTATGTCTATACATTTTCGTCTTTATGCTCTGAGATTAGCCTTTTGACAACTCTTATTTAGGAACGGTATTGCTTATAGACGCTAACACGCACACATACACACACACTCACACACTCGAACAAAAGTAACAGGACCAGTATGAAAGATAATTAGCCAAACCAGTCTATATCAATCTATCTAGGTCCTAAATTTTCTTTTGGCTTAATTGAGTCTATGCAAGAAGTAAGATAGAGCCGGATAGAGTTATTGCCCTTGTGTCAACATGAGACTTTTACAAGAATGAGACCCAGCTCTGATGATGTCCATCGAATAATGGACGAAAGCTCAACATGTTCTCACGCGAAACGAGGGAGGAAGTCTCGTGGACTGCGTCAACATGAATGTCGTTGAAAAG